CTATTACAATTGTGTATGTTCTGAATTCATATTTATTCACTGGAATGACGAAAGCAATGTTGACTTCACTTTAATTCGTAATGAATTGAAGACAGAAGAAGTGCATTTTACCTTAATACACACATCTGTAACAGTATCCGAAATCGGAAGTCATCAGTTGCAAGTTTGTTGATAATAGAAATTAAAAATTATTGAGGAAGTTTTCTTCAAATGTTTGGCGTGTTCTGTTCCTGAAAGATTTACTAATATTCTGGAGATTTTTTTCAAGTTCTTCAGCTTTTCCTTAGGGAAATTTTGATTTTGATTTGCAGCTAAGAAAATGGCGTCCGTCATGGCCAATGACTTTCATGGAACTAAATGAAAACGTGATAAATTAATGTCTGATATTTACAGACTCCCGCTAGAGGGCGTACTCGAGTGTTGCGATCGCGAATTGTTAATTAGTATGTTATGTTATGTGCTTATGTTAGCTCTTCATTATTGGAGGAAAAGCTTTTGCTCCAAAAATAAATGATAAGTCGGCCGGTCTAATTCATGAACTCTAGAAAAAACCTCCTAGGAAAAAAAATGTTCGAATTCGACCATCTGGTGAAAGAATCGCGCGCATGAGGATTCGAACACAATTTGGAAAAGTAGAACTAGATTGAAACATTCTCTTGTTTCAAGTTTAGCTTGGGAAAAAAAAGTCCGAAATTCGCCGAATGTTCTCGAGAAATTTCGAAAATTTCTCTGGACCACAAATACAGAAATCCGTAGACATGGCATAAATAACAAAAGATAAATATGGTGCAGATAAAAAGACGAAAAAAAATTTCAACATAAATATTCTCTCATTTCCTGGTTCTTCCCTTCTGTGCACTTCAAGAATATTAGTTTAGAGAATAGAAAGACGGAATTAGGACTATCTTTGAACTATTTTCATGTCATCACTTAACGATTTTTCAGTTTTAGGGAAGTACTAAATTTTTGTTAATATCTAAGGGAAAAATTTAAAGAACCAAAAATGTCTCCCATTGTAAGAAAGCAATAATAATTCGCGAATACGATCGTGAAAATTTGTGCCGCAACAGACTTGCTACTCTAATTCATAGCATAGGCTCAATTGGGTACTTACAATTCAAGAAGATCACCCACAAATCAAATGGCGTGTTAAAGTTAAGCTAAATTTCTTCACATAAGTTAGAATATTAACACGTTGAATTCCATGGGGGGTCACCGGTGACCGGCACTGAGTTTGCTCGTAGTGCCACGGGGGTCATCGGTGACTAGCGAAGCCAAGATTATTCAAAACACATAATTCGAGTAAATTTTTAATTTATTTTTTAATATTATTATCGTTATTGAAGGGGTTTGAAGAAATTAATGCAATATAGAACACACAAAAATAGTTTTATTTATGTACTCAGCAAATAAATATTTTCAAGTGGTAATTTATCAATTGGGATTGTTGGTTTAATAAATTCAATGTAGTAGATTTTATCCACCATTATTTCTAAACAATTCGTAGGCTTTGTTAAATGTCATGTATCTAAATGTGTTTTGTCGCCAAGTCAGGATAGCTCGCCAATTTGGCTAGCGCTTCTTAATGTTTGTGTTAATAATTACTTCATTCGTTGAGGATGTGCTATAGTGAGCTTCCTATAATAAAAAAATTTGGATATCAACTAAAATAAATCGTTCCGTCGTTTGTTGAGGACATTCTATGGTGTATTGTCCTTTATTAAAACCAATCGTTAAATTTACAGTCCAGGCTTATATAATTCACCACTTAAATCAGATATGTCATGCTAAACCTTTTAATAGACTAGCAAAATCTGTCTAATATTTGGAAATTGAGTTTGTAGTTATTTACCGTTTGGCCAGACGGGAAAGCCATGTAAAATTACGTCGCATTCAGCGTGTTAATATTCTAACTTATGTGAAGAAGAACTTATGTGAAGGTGAAGCTCATTAAATACAGCGCTGTATCTCACTTCGAATTCATTGAAATATAATTTTTTCTCGTCTGCGTCTTTTACTTAACTTAGATTTATTATTTGATAATGCATTTATTTATAGCCGTGATGTACTTTTGCTTAGTGTACCTGGCAACTTCGATGCATAATTAGTTTATGTTCTACATGGTTTCGTCTCTGTCTTTGTGTTAAGTAAGAAATATACAGTGAAAGAATTAAAATCTTTGTGAAAGAATATAGAACGTGTCTCTAAAAAATTGATATTTAAAGTGCTTGGCTTACTCGAAATAGAATGGAAAGAACATTCGCTCACGAAACAAATGCCACGTTTCAACAACCAATCAGGATCGAGATATCCACTTTACGTCACTTGCAGGCATCCATTTGCATTAAATTTGCCAAGCACACGCTCAAAACAAAATAGAATATTCAACTGTGAGTAGTTTCTCAATCTTTAGGAGCAACATGCCTTCGGTATATTCTCCCGTGCAAATGGCAAATTTCTGTCGTTCTGATAAAACAATTTCACTAAGAAATTCTAGCGAAATTATTTTATCAGAATGACAGTAATTTGTTATTTGCGCGGGAGAATATGCCGAAGGCATGGATTAACGCGAGTTTAGTATTTTATGGAGGGGTGAGAAAATAATCTCAAGGTCTTACATAAAATAGAAATCAACATTGTACGTACATAAATCAAACTTTCAGCCTCGAAGGGGCATCTATTACTTCATCACAAAGGGAGTGCAATGATTTAATGAAGCAGAAGACAGCACAAATGTCGACTCTGATTGAAAATGACCAAATAAAATTAAGTAAACTACAAGTAAAATAGAAATGACCCCCATGTCTCTATCCACCAACATGATTGGCATCTGCCTCAAATTGAATAAATTCTTTTTTGTTCATAAAAAAAGCGCCATCTTTTGGTCTAAATTTGAACTAATTTTGTATTGTAGATTTCAGTTTACAATGGTTCATATAGCGTATATACCAAATTTCTTCGATATATGACAATCAGAAATGATTTTAGCTTAGTATTAAAATTATAGCTTTGCTTCTAATTTAAGACTCTCAAACTGTGATTTATTTTATTTTTCATGACAAAAGAGCTTTGAAAAACATCTTTACATCAACAAAATTCTCCAACTAAAAGGTTATAAACTATCCTTGAAATCTCGCAAAGGGTTGGTCAGATACCGTTGCAGGGCGAAAACTTTTCTTGTATTTTGACTCGTTCAGCACCTCAACCAGATTTCGTGGAACATTCGTTATAAAACCATCAACCCCTAAATCCAAAGAACTCCTCAATTTAAATTTCGAATCAATTGTCCATTCATAAACTTTCTTTATGAATCCACCCGAGTTTCTGACTTTGATTTCAGCTTTCAGGCGCTGAACTGGATGAAGAGCACTGAAACAGTTTGTGGTACCGTCGCCAAGCCAAATGTTCGACACATTTAGCTCTTGAAATATTTCTTGAATGTCAGAAATGTGTTGAAGACCGCCGTCGAATCCAATATCCGTTAGACGAGATTCCTGATTCCTGTCTTTAAATTCTTGCAGAAATCCAGCAATCGCATCTTTTTTATCCACCTCGTTTATGTAAATTAGTGCCCTTACCTGCAATAAATAAATAAATAACTCTGGATTAATTCTGTGAAAGTAAAGCTTGTGTACAGGCATCCAAAGCAAATATCAATTGCTTTGAATGTCTGTTGAATAAAACTATTCATGCAATTAGCATGTTTATTCCAATGGTTTCGCATAGTGTTCCTATATTTAAACTAACTTTAAAGAGTTACTACAAACGGATTTACGATAGGTTGAGAGCCAAATTTACGAAACAAAAGTTTTCTCGAAGAGTTGACGAGATATTTTTATTCTGCGTAATCTCTAAATGATGTATAAGTATTCTTTTTCCTTGCTTTTAAAATACTTCTTAGCTATGCAAAATATCCATTACGGTGAAATTTGTCAAATTGTAAGTTGTAAGTTGACCATCAAAGTTGGCTACTATTACAAAGAGCCGAATATGTCTCGCATAATAAAAAGAAGTAAAACACATGAAACTTGACCACCAGTCTATCTTGCAGCTGAAATAATTCAACTTTGTCCAGGTGTGTTATTAAATGCTATTCTAACCCCTGTGTAAGTTGACCATCGAAAAGAAACTTTTTCCCGGAAATTTTCTATGCTATCATATTAAGTTGAGTATCAGAGTTTGACTGAATATTTGAAACAGTATTAAAAGCTAAGTTAAACTCCTTTCCGAATTCACCATGTATGGATTGGAGGATATTGCAACAAATAGGATTGTAAGTACAACAAATTTTTTTTTCCAATACCCACCTGGTGAATGACTTACATTCTGCAGGCAGTTAACGTTAACCCACCATATTAGGTGGGCCAACGTTGCTCCCACAGTAAGGACAGATAATACAGAGAAGGAAAGAACATCCATGCCTTGCCCGGGATTCGAACCCCGAACCTTTCTGATGCAAGGGCAGTTCCTTAACCTCTACACAGGCCGGTCGGCAGTGCAACAAAATACATTTCAAAACGCAGCAGGATATAATACCTTATACGTTTTCTGATTACATAAATCTTCTTGCATATATCTAACATGTACCACTAACATATAGGAATATATTTTTAATCTATTTAATTTATGCAACGAATTATAACTCATTCTGTTAATTATTATCTCTTAATTTTAAAGTCACGCTAAAAAAATTAACTTTTATCTTTATATTGTTTGATAATATAAAGAAATCCATGAATAACGTGACATAAAAATAACATGTTATAAGAATTGATAGATAAAAGCAACGAAATACTGACTCATCCCTCTCAATAAGTTGACCACCTCTCTTAGTTGATCCTGAAATAAATGCACCACAAGTGGTCAACTTACACAAGTTTCACAGTACAGTGTTAAAAATATATATATTTTGTGAATGGTTGGAGAAATCAATGATAACTATACTTGTACTTCAATCAAGTTACTTTTGTTATTATGTGATGAATAATTTTTCTCCGATGACGTAAGCCCCACCGGGGAGGGAATTTACAATCCAGCAACCTTTAACAACTCGTTTTTTTTTTTTTTTTTTTTTTTTTTTTTAAACGGTTTACCCCTTGACTGCAGCTGGTCGCAATTATAATGCAAGCTTTTATTTCACTTAGAATTTGCTGCTTTAACTAAAAAACGGTATAGATTGTTACAATTGATTATCTAGATTATTAAAAAAAGGTTATGATTATTATAATTACTTACTTTTTTATTATTTAAAAAAAATTAAAATATCAAAATAGGTCGTTAAAGGCCACTGGATTGGATGACTGAAAAATCACCTCAGAGGATATAGTCGTCTGTGAAATATGCGCAAAAAAATTAATTTTTGTATTGATATTTGATAAATCCTTTATTGCATATTGCAATGTTTTTTTTTAACGGCAGGCTTGCTCATTTAACATAACCCTAAGTTACGGGGGCGAGCAACATTACCCGCGCCACATTCCAGATTCACACACCAGATAATAACACATAAAGAGAAACATCCATGCCTTGAGCGGGATTCGAATTCGCAATTATTGGTTTCGAGAGGGCATATAAGGGAAGGCATATTGGAGATTTTACAGAAAAACAACACAACCTTAAAAACCAAGAAACTTTGAGTCTTAATAATTACTTATATCAGACACTAGACTCACCTCTCGTTCTCTTTTGCCATCAGTCCATAAGTAATCTAATATATGTCGTGCAATTTCACGCCCTGAAGTCCGAATATCTTTGGAGGAATCCAATTTCAAATCAAAAAATTGCATGATCAGTTTATTGTAGTAAGAATTTTTTGCTGAGGGATCTGTTATGTCCCGTAAGTATGTCAAGTATTCCGGCAATCGCACATGTTTATCACATATTCTAAAGCAATCTCCCGGACAACCGTGATAAAGCTCCTTTACTGAACCATTAGGAAAAAAATGAACGTCGGACTCTAAGACGTTGGCTCCTTCATCCAAAAATGGTATCACGTCTTCTATGCTATTTGCCATGTGCCCTATAATGTATACGGGTCTTTGTTCGTCTGCACTTGCACTAAACTTGAAAATGGAGATTGAAACCAAACAAAATAGAATACATATTGATGGAAATCTTCCAAGCATGGTGAGAAAGTTTTAATTCCAGTTGACACGAAAATATTTTTAAAAGATTCTCTTCCAATCCAATTTTCCCAACTATATAATACAAACTTTTTGGATAGCCTAGAAATAAATAACATGAGACGTAATAAGTAAATCAAGTTGAGTAACAAACATAAGGCATTTTTGCAAACTACAGACGTTTATATAATTCCCAATCATTTTAATCAAAGAACAAGATCAGTCAAATTTTCTCAGTAATTGAAAGATTTTACGATTGCTTGGGTATAAACAGTTGGAAGCAATTTCAAAGCAGACGTACTTATAATAGAAAGAAGATAATAGAAAATAAGTTTATGGCATTCGAGACTTATTATGAAAAGTAACCTATCTACTCGTAAAATGGCTTATGATTGAATTCTATTCCCATTAATTTTCAGGTTGAATATGTAAGATATTATGTAATGACCCTATTTTTTATGCATCTCAAAAATAAATTCAGAAAGTATGTAAAGTCGCAAATAAATATTAAAGCGAGAAGGGAACAAAACCGATGCTGAAATTTGTTAAGTAGTTAATGAGGCGATTTTAAGAATGTTAAAACATTTTTGATTAGGGGAGAGTCGGGTAGCCCCGCCCAGCGGGTACCCCCGCCCACAGTCAATTTCATATGTATAGAATATTTTTTCAAGTCAATGGGCCATCGGACATTAATTGTTATACTAAAAAAAGATTATTTTCAAAGTTTCAAGTATTTATGCAGCTGGTAACATGGTAAACAATAGTTTTGAAAATATGTTGAATACAGTAGTCATGAAATTAAGAAAAATTGGTTGAATGTTTCGATTAAACTTCATTTTAATACTAAAAAAAGAATTTTTTCTATACATACAGCATTAAAGTATGTAGTCTTAAGTTTAATTTGCACAAAGAAAGAAGT